AATTTGAGGAAGAAACTAGTGAAATGCTACATTTGGAGCATAGCTCTATATGGGGCTGAAACATGGACACTTAGGGCAGTAGATCAGAAACATCTGGAAAGTTTCGAAATGTGGTGTTGGAGAAGAATGGAGATCAGTTGGACCGATTATGTGAGAACTGAAGAAGTGTTAATTAGAGTCAATGAGCAGAGGAATATCCTACACGAGATAAGAAAACTGAAGGCTAATTGGATTCGTCATGTTTTACGCAGAAACTGCCTTCTACAAGAAGTTATTGAAGGAAAGATAGAGGGGCAGATAGAAGTGACAAGAAGACGTAAGAAGATGCTGGATGACCTTGGGGACAGAAGAGGATACTGTCATTTGAAGGAGAAAGCTCTAGATCGCATTAGGTGGAGGAATTGTTTTGGAAGAGACTGTGGACCTGTCGTCTGACAGATTACTGATGATGATGTTAAAAGATACCTGACAAGGAAATACACCCTTGTACGTAAGTGTCGACTCCCGTTTCACAACTACATCAAATCAAAATCCATACATACCTATGGCCATATCTGCAGATAACTGAGCACAATTTATCCGCCAACGCAACATTAAATCAAAACTGGTTTGTTTCAGCCTCTGTGTGAGGAACACATGAGCAGCCAACTTTGCCTCCGCAAATAGATGGCAGTAGTAGTTCGCGTCACATTAAATGTTGCCATCCTTATGCTCATGTCTCGGCAGTATCACAAAGAAGACAACACAGTTCGGTGTTAGGTAATGGAGTTGCGTTTGTTTTTGTTGTATTCAGTATATATACGGGGATGAAAATAGGTGCCTTACAGTTAATACGTTGAATCTTCGACACCGGAAACGTTTCATTTATGGAGAGGTTGTGCGCTAGAAAATGGTAAGAGAATTGTAGATGTCGGAAGGGTCAGAAGTATTCTAATAGTTTATTAGTATCACGGTTTTGATGCAAGATCGTGAACACGAATGTAACGTAACGAAATTTGAACGCAGTAAAGCGTTGGTGGTCCGTTACTCCTATCAAATACACAATAATGCGTCTAATTCTGTATCTGTCTATAACATAATGCCGTTTACTGGCTACAGATGCGACGATTTACTTGTTTGTTAATACTGTGAATGGCTTACAGGTTAGAAGCTCAGAAGTGCAAATATTTGCTGATACAGTGTGCTAACAGTGGAGCTGTGTCAAGACCATGTAGATTTCTTAGTTCAGCTGAAGTGTCAGCGGCACTGAGGCCATTTTATTTTTCCGTTCATCCAGACCTGTTTGGCCGATATCCTGCAGAAAGGGTGAGTCATAACTGTGAGCGAGCACAAAGCTGAGGGAGTCAAATATTCTATTGGGCATTGTTCACTGTCTTTGGCAGGCCTGTGTTTGATATAGGTGATATTTTTGGAGTTCTGCTTCCTGTTCTGATGGTTGTCAATACCACCATATTGACTTTTTTTTTTTTGAGTCAACTTTCCTTTCTTATGTGAAGAAAGTACACTTCTAAGGTCTCTGTACTATTTGTTTCTGTATATCACTTTCAATATTTGGAGCAGTTTTTGGTTACAAAATGTGGTATGAACATACCATCAGAGACCAACACAACCTTATATATATTAATTTCCTGCAATCAGTATTAATGAATAACATGGTAGGTGGTTCGACTTATGAATTAGAAGTAACATTAGTGCTAAGCGGCCTCCGTAGTCTAGAGGTAACGTTCCCACCTCATGACTAGTGGTACGTGGGTTCAAATACCTGGCGGAGGTCGTGGAATTTTTAAGGGCAGAAAAATTCAGGGAACAAGTCCTCCGGGAGGGACTTTAAGCCATGGGTCCCGTGTCGTAGCTTTACGGCACGTAAAAGAACCTCATATCTCCTAAGGAGATCACTGAGCCAAATTGAAGGACGTTTCCCGCCCAACAGCAGTCTCTAAGGCCTCTGATAGATGGGGGAAGCATTATAGATACCGCCAAGCCAGTTGAGAACTTGCTGGCTCGGTCGGGACTGATGGTACACACCATTATCGGTAGGGTATAGAGACTGGTAGACTATCATAGAGGGAAGTACAATGGACCAGTACTGGTCTAAGTGCATGGGGAAACCCACCCTCTCCAGTAACTAAGTAACATTAGTGCTACTTAATGTGGGGTCCTGAAATGCTACATGTTAATACAGCTGTGAAAAATATGCAACTGTTACAGCTGTATTGATGTTACAAGTTTTGAGGTTTTTATGTGTTATTCAGATTTTGTTTGACTGGGATGTGGCATTTTAAGTCTTGTGAACGGATATCAGCATTTTGAGAATGGCAGTCTTTTGCCACATTTCCTGCCTCCACGTGTGATCAGTGCTCTTTTCCCACAGTTCTTATTTGTTCCTTTGATGAATATTGAGACTTTTTTTTCCCTCCCCATGTTTCTACTCACCATTCCTGCAGGCCCAGATTTGGTGACATCTTTTCTCCCCCTTCTGTGGATGGTGGTTTCTCAGAAGGTGGGATATGATGCTGTATAGTCTGGTAGACTGTTACCAATGTTTCAGGGAGACTATACATCCGGTCCCCCATACTCCTTCATGGTGTAGTGTTTAGTTACTTATGCTCAGGGACATCTTTACCTTTACCTTCAGGGGAACATACTGCCTCTGTCATCAGGGTCATTGAGTGAGCCAAGGAAGCAGAGAATCCCATCTTTCTCATGTGCTAATGTTACTTCCTGTGTTGTGATACAGGGGGCCATACAGAGCTAATGTGTTGCTTGGTTGGCTGATCAGCTATTTTGTTGTTCTGAGAATACCAGATCTTCCAGTTTCCTATGTTCTTTGTGGATAATTTCTGCCTTGTTTGAATATATTCCATTGTATTGATTCCATGAGTTAAGATATTTTAGACTGCGATATTGTCCAGTTTTTGCATTGAGATTGTGTTGTGTTTTGAGGTGGCCCCCCTCTCCTTGTTTCATCTGTCAGTACCAAGGGTTTTAGGAGTGTTTGGATACTGTGATAATATTAAGGCCCTTTGACATATGCAGAATATGAGGATGATGATTTAAACTGTACATTGGTAGTTCATTGTGCTTTAGTAGTCCTTGCTTCACAAAGCAACGCACATAAACACCCCAAGCACAATTTAATTTAATCCACTGTCTCTGGTTTCTCAAGGCCAGAATGAAAATCTTGATTTGAAAACTCTGCCATTCCTTCTTCATTTAAATTGTCATTGGACCAAAATTCACGTCTTTTCTTCCACAATCTTTTCAATTACATTCCGATATTTTCCTCTCTTAATGTTCTCAAGTACCGGAGCACTGCAAAATGACTCAGAACAAGATAGCTATTCAGTCATCTTACTCTGGGTCATCCCATAGTTCTCTTTCCTTAATGCCTTCTCAACATTCTAGTCCTGTCCATTCTTCTTAAATGGCCAGACCATTGTAATTGTTTTTGTTTTTTTTTTACCTCTGACTCCTAACTCTGTTGATAAATTCTGAATTCCAGTTTTGTCTCCAGAAATCCATATTTATCATATACCATCTACTTTGTGTAGCTCATTATATCTTTCTTCTTAGATATTATGTGCTTTGATGAGAATTTTCTGCTTCCCATTAGGAAAATGTAATGATCAAGTCCCTCAGCCTTCTTGTATTCAGTTGATACATAGTTCCAACAATATATGCCATTGTGAGGTTATGTCACAAATATATTTGTTTATTTTATCTTTCAGATTGTTAATGAAAATTCTTTAAAACAATTGAGCTCTTACATCGAAACTTTGCAACAGAATCGTCCCACCAGACCAACCACTGTTACTTTCTACCTAAGGAACCAGAATACGTTAGATACTGGTAACTATAGTTGTTATGAAGTTAGGCTGCCTTTTATTGTCAGATGTACACATGCATGCATGGGGGCATGCGGTGGCATAGTTGGTTGAGGGGATATGCTACAAGCCGGAAGGTCGCGGGTTCAAGTCCTGATGAGGCCATTGTTTTTGTTTTCAGTTGACCTAATCCTTCCAGCCGCACTAGGCCCTGGCGTTTACTTAGCCTCTAACAGAAATGAGTACCAGGAATTAATTAAATAATTTTCCTGGGGAGTAAAGCGCGGCCAACGTGTAAGGCTGACAAACTTACCACCATCTTTGAGCCGATTGTCTAGATAATGTGGGACCCTCAACGTCTCACAACCCTATGGGCCTTCACGGCCTGGTACAGGGATAGCTTTACTTTACTTTTTTTACTTTTTACACATCCATGCATGCAAACACATTTTTTTGTATGGAATATGTTCTTCCAGATTCAATAAGTGTCTTCCTTGACATGTAATCCTGTAGGTGAACTCATTACCAAATTTTTTCTTGCTGTCTGCATTACAGGAACATTTCGTTCGGTGAGAATTAGCTTAGCACAGCGAGACTTAAGAAAAACTGTATTATCAATTTTGAAAACTTGTGGCTTACCGACAACTTATGTGGATAATATTGAACCACATCCAGAGAAGCCAAGATTCGAGAGACTGAATGTGAAGGTTGATGAAAATGATCCAGTGTATGGAAGTTTTGTACTTAAACAGCAGATAAAGAAAGCTAAAGATGCTGAGAAGTTGATGTAAGTAGCAGTTAGTTTTTGGAACTTTAAGATGCGTACCATACTTCATGGTGTGTGACACATACCGGTCTATGAGACACACGGTGATTTATGAAGGAGAAGTAAAATTTATTTTATGAATCACACCAGTGCTTAAGACTCACTGGAACCTTTAAGGACATTTTTTAAGGAAGAACAACAACTTGTACACCAGGAAATATGGTAATTCAATCTACCAGCTCCCCTCACGATCTTTTGAACTTAATTTTTCTTGTGCTACAATATAGTGACACCATGAATGTATTCTCTCTTTCAGCCTTCAGTTTATGTACCTTTCTTGTGGTCTTGTTGGGTTTTTTGCTATTCCAATGTATTCTATACCTGCCAAAAAATAAAGGAAATAGTATACAGTTTTACCTGATAAGCAAAAGTATTGATTCACTGAGGTAGCATTTTATGGCACTGATAACGTCTTCCTACATACAGAATTCAAGTTCGTGGTCTTCAAGAGAGTGTTGTAAATGGATTTACTGCAGTTTAGTAATCTAATATATTGTGGGGTGTTATATGTTGTATAGAGAAACGAAACAATGGAAATTGTTGAGACCATTGCATAGGAATATCTGTAGCAGTGAGTGTTCATTGTGTGACAAAGTTTTTGGATCTGATTCTAATACTTATTTGCAAGTGTTTTTTAACTACATCACTTGGGTGAACTTAATTTCTTCATATGAATGATACTCTTCCTTTAAAGTTTATCTACTAGGGTTGAGCCATTCCTGGAACCAGGGTACATCATACCTTGTGTAGGTGACCTTGGGGTAAGAAGTCTGCGTGTTCAGCAAGGTATCCTGTATGATGCTGCCAGAGACCATTGCTCATAGGTTCACCGAATTCCCTCATCTGTAATAAGTTAATAAGGAAGCAAGAACATTATTAAAAAAATAAAAATAAAGATAGCCCTGTAACAGGCCATGGAGGCCCTTAGGGTTATGAGATGCCGAGGGTCCCACCTTTTCTAGATAATCGGCTCACAGCTGGCAGTGAGGTTGTCAGCCTTATGTACCCACAGGAAGATTCATGGTACTCATTTCTGTTTAGAGGTTGAGTCGACCCCAGGGCCATAGCATGGCATGAAGGATTAGGTCAATTTAAAAGTCCAGTGACTTCGAGAATTGAACCTGCGACCTTCCAGCTTATAACATAGTGCCTCAACTAGCTACGCGTATGCTACCACATGTTCCCAAAGCAGGAGCAGCATGTGTGTTATTTGTCTTGATTTCCTGTCGATTTAATGTGCTGTGTTTGCTTGTGAATGTGGCAACAGAAGAACTGTCTGCTTTGGGTGAGACTTCTTCCAGACAGTGAATGGCTATATTCTCTCTTACAACACTTGAAAATAGTCCCAGACTTGATTTAAATTTATGTGCTGCATGATCTTCTAAGGGCCATCTTAATATAGAGTTAAGCATGAAATTGTAAGTTTTAGTATTTATCCTGCACTACATATAGTACAAACAGCAGAATGGTGAAAAGTTTTTAAAAACATCTTATATTTGTAACTGATAATCTTGATTCACATTTTCAACTGCTCTTTAGGAAATAGCGCCAGAGACCTGTTATGTGTAAGAGATATTGTATAAGAAATTCTAGTTTACGAAGGTGGCCAGGAACAGTCCCTCTCTCTTCCAAGAAGAGAGTTTGAAAATCAAGAATAATCAGCTGATTCTGCCACACACACCAATTCTGGAACGTGTATGTTTTAATATCTGTGAATTGACCACTGACCAGTTAAAAACAACTGTTTCCACAAGAGACGTAATATCATATCAAAGTGTTATCAACATCGTACGTTCATCTTCAAAGAAAAAATTTGATATTTAAACATTTAATTTTAGCTACACTGAGGATGAAAAGGAGATGTGTTAAGAAGAAGAGAGGTGTTTATAATTTCACGAAAGACAATGTCATAGCGTCTATAGGAGATATCCAAAAGGTGAGAGTCATGCTATTAAATGAGAAATGTAATTGGAGAAGTATTTTATTGCAGGTCTCCCCTCTCAAGGATGATACAGTGTTGTCTGCATGTAATTTGTTATATATATTTATCTAAGATGTATGTTTTTTTTAATGATTTCAAGGAGTTTGAAGAGCATGGGCATGATGCTTTATGTGTACCACCATGTGATTGCCACGTAACCCCATTGGATTTGGTTCCAGGCTAAGGAAGTTGCAGTAGCAGCACAGGTTGAAATGGGTTTGAAATGGAAGCTGTGAAAAAGATATGGGAAGAGTAATTGGAACAGGTTTGTATGTTTTTGTGTGTTGAATATAAAGCAAAAGCATGAAGTGTCACTTAAAATTACTCCTATTTCTGCTGTTTTGTAATATTGCTGTGGCATATAGACATGGTGGTAAAATATGTTTTCCCAAGTTTCAGGTTGCACCAACAATGCGAGAAGCTTACATGTGGCATACATGGAGGGAGCTGAGAAGCAGACTTCTGTAGAAAATAAGGAAGCTGTGGATCTTCATGTTATTAGCGTTTAAGAGAACTCCGATACAGAAAATTATTCAGATGACTGGCCATTCTCATTAGAATAAACATTGTGAGTATTAATGGTTCGCAAATTTGGAGTGATAAGTAAAGTAAGTAAAGCTATCCCTGTAACAGGCCATGAAGGCCCATAGGGTTGTGAGACGTTAAGGGTCCCACACTATCTAGACAATCTGCTCAAAGATGGCGGTAAGGTTGTCAGCCCTATGCGCTGGCCGCGCTTTACTCCCCAGGAAAATTATTTATTTAATTCCTGGTACTCATTTCTGTTAGAGGCTGAGTGAACGCCAGGGCCATAGTGCGGCCAGAAGGATTAGGTCAATTGAAAAAAATCCAATGACCTCATCGGTATTTGAACCTGCGTAGTGCCTTAACCACTACGCTACCGCGTTCCCCCAAATTCGAAGTGATTCATGTTGTTTTTCACTGTAGTCACAGATTAATAATAATATATTATATTTTGTCAATGCTGTGATCAGACAATACCAACAGAAAATAACTTTGAAATTTTGTAACATATCCACATTTTCTTTTTCTGTTTTATGACACTTGTCAGTATTATTATTGTATGGGTTAATCTAAACAGTTATACCCTAGGGACTAGTTACTGTAGACAAAAGCTGGTAAAAGGAGTGAATAGCCTTGTCAAAAAGAATTCAGAATTTAATAATCAGATATCACTGTAATGAACAAGACAGAATGCTGTGCAACTGAAATCGAAATTCTCTAACATACATATCCTATCTAAGCTCATAATACAGAGCCCCCATTTTTGTATTTGTTGCCATGGGAACCTGTTTAGCAAGACATTGTCTAGCAGTGAATGCCTACTCTGGCTCCACTGTTTCGACTTCCAGGTGCCTAGCACCGAACATCTACTCTGGCTCTGCTATTCCAGCTTTCATACATAATGTCACAATATTTTTATTGTATCTCAGGTGGCCAAGGTTAGGGGATGTGTGGAGTAGGATATTCTACTGCTAGATGCAGTAGTTTCTAAATTCCTTTATGGGTGACATACAGATACAGCAAGGAGGTCTGCTGTATAGTTCATTATGTTTGTGATAGATGGAAATATATGCTTTGCAAGTTTCAATGCGTTCAGAAATTTCATTTGGATGATACATATTTATAAAGATAACACCCGAAAGAATACATGTGCAGCAAGGAACCCATGTTGAGCCATGCCTGTAATATACAGGCTCAGCAGTATAAAGGTTAAAAAATCATCCATCTTTAGTTGCTCACCGGCCTCTGATTTCTCATGTAGCTGTAGATATACAGGAGTTTTCATTGCTGGGTGAAATTTTGCCTTCCCTTTTCTCATTCCAGCAGCTCTTTCCACACAGCACTCTGCTGTCCTTCTCTGCAGCTCTTCAATTGGTCAGCAGGCAGTTAGCATTACAGTAGTTGCTGTTAACTGAAATTGCATCTGAGTTAGTTGATTGGATTAAAATTAAATTGCATTTGATGAATGTGCATATAATACAGAATATCTGTATTTAGGTTTAATACCATATCCAAGATGTATGTTTACATATACTGTATTACTTCAAATATAGGACACCCTTGAATTTAAGACTTGTCCAGTTTTGTAATGTGGGTTTTAAGAAAAAATTGGAAGGGTGCACATTCCTCATATTTAAGACGTACCTCAAATTTTCAGCAGGAAAATGTGTAAAATATGTGTCTTGTATTCAGAGTAATGTGGTACATACATATATTTATATTGACATTTATATATTGCATTTATGTTTTTGTATTGGAAATAGGTTATGTATTATGACTTGTTCAACATCCTCAGCTTAGGCTGTTGAAGGTTGTATAGAATATAAATAAATCCTAATTTATTCAGTTTTACCAAACCATCATCATTCCTCATTTTCATAATTTGTAATTTCTGTAGTGAATATTGTGTTATTGTTACATTAATGAAGGCCATGTATAAGATGTGTCATGTATAAAAATTGCGACGCTAATAATAATAATAACTTTTTACCTGAAATGTATATTAATAGTTTTTAAATACCACTTGATGATCTTTATGACAGTGCTATTTACAGGACTGTAGGTGAAAGGAAGAGAACAAAGGGATAAAGAATAATATTAAAAAATTAAACATTCCTGTACAAACAGTTAATGTAAAACTAGAAGGCTTCATTGGAACAGACACAAATCAGTGTTTTTTTCTAATCAGATAGGGTAATAGTATAAGGTTGTAGAGCAAGATGTAAATTACTAGTTAAATTAAATTGTGTCTGAAACATGTCGGGATTTTAATGGCATATAATCAGTACAGGGAAATAGAAAAGGTGTAGTTGTCCCTGTGCTTAATTACATAGCACTATGCCATGAAGACATGGAAACTGGGTGTATAGACTATGTTTCTTGATCTTGGCAGTAGTTGGAGGTGAATGGTCAGCTTCATGCCCCTGCCGTTTTACCCTTGGGGAAAGACCCCCCCCAGTACCCATTGGACAGGAGGCTGGTTGGGCCCCAGGGCCAGTGTAGACCTGGAGAAAGAATTTTTGACCCTTCCAGGACTCAAGCTCTGACCCCTCAGTTGTCCAGCCCATAACCAGTTGGTATTCCAACTGCAGTACCCAAACTCTACAATACATGGAAATGTAAACTAAATATGCTTAGATGGTAATTTATGTCTTGTTCTAAAATAGTATATCAGGAAAATGAAATCAGAGTTTGAGGTTTATTGAAGGATTAAATTCCACATGATATTGTCACATGTTGGGTATGCACGCGACAAATAACTTAATGCCGTATTGGATATAGCAAATTTATTCAACACACACTCTCACATAATTTACAATCTCACAATTACTGCCATCGGCAGTATCACAAATACTTCTCCTGTAGTCACTGCCATGCGCTCGATACAACCCAACTTGGCAACTGCTACAATTCACGTGACTGGTTAATCGTTACTCACTCGTAACTGGCTCAGTCCTCACTACTGAATAGTGTTTGCTGCTCCTTATTTAGCCTTGGCATGGACAACGCAGAAAACAGTTACGTGATAGGTACCGCTGTTGCGTGATGCTGTATTTACAGGTTGCCTAGCAAAACTGTCAAGATTTGTTTACTGCTGTGTAGTAACCATGGTATCCCTTGTTACGTCACCGCAGGAATGGTTGCCTGACACAGTTGCTCCTCAGTTACGTGACCGCAGGGGAGGGGATGTTTACCAAACGTTGCGCACTGATGGAAGGAGTGGGGGTATGTGATGTCACGAGACCGCAGAGTTCACGTGACCCCTACTTCATTTTGTGCCATCCACGTCACACTATGCTTTTCACATATTGTAATATCATAGTTTTACCAAACAAGATGCACCCTCTTTCCTTCTAATAGTACAGGCTGTATTGAGATGAGAATTGCAGTAGTAATACAAATTCATGGTTAATGGCATTAATGCCTTTTCTACAAATTCTGTTTGAGTTTGTAATGGTTGTTTGCCTGGTTATGCAGCATAAAGAGAATTTTGACTAGCTGATTAGTGTTTCATGAACTGTTTCTTCATACTGTTAATGGAAGTGACGTGTTTAGTAATGAAGAAAGAGATACTTGATGTGAATGGCTCATATTATCATTTTCATTATACAGTAATGTCTAAGCAGAACAAATGAGCTCAGTGTTAACTCCGAGCAATTAGAAAGAGCTGTTGCAATTTGTGAATCTGAAGTTGCTGGCAAAAATATAAAGGACATACTGTACTGATTTAATCAGGAGAAAGATCTTTCTGACAGAATACACAGACTTGCCAAAAATGGTGAACCTGTAATTTCATAATAGTGTGCGCACACAACGATTACATCAGCGACACATACCTGCTGCCAACTAGTGAGAAAAAATGTTAATGTAATATGTCTGAATTTCCTACCAACATATGAATACCATGGGGCACGTGGTAGCATAGTAGGTTGAGGCACTATAATACAAGCTGGAAGTTCATGGCTTCGATTCCTGATGAGGTCATTGGATTTTATCAAATGACAATCCTTCAAGCCGCACTGTGGCCGTGAGGTCAACTCAGCCTTTAACAGAAATGAGTACCAGGAATCTTCTTGGGGGTAAAGAGCAGTGGGCAGCTGGCACGTAAGGCTGACAACCTCACTACCATATGTTAGCCGACTGTCTAGAAATTGTTGGAGCCTTGATATCTCACAACCTTGTGGGCCTCCACAGCCTTTTACAGCTTTACCTTTATTTGAATATCACAAGTATGTTGAAAATAGAAAGTAACTTTTTAATGACAGCATAACAGTATGCATCACCATCTGATGATAATGCACCCTTGTATGTCTTTGTCAGGCTCTTATACAGTATATTGTAATATGGACAAGGAAAGCCACAATATCCCAGGTGAAGAACTTCAGCTTGTCTTATGTTAAATATGTTATGAAATATTGTAAAGTAATAAAGTGTTGCACAGATAAGTGCTTTTGTTCTCCCTGACCGTATTTATTGTCATAAATTTATGGACTACATTTCAGACAACAGTTATTTTGTTTGCTGGAAATTGTATAACATTTTAAAATGCATATATTTGTTAGTACAAAAGAGAATGACATGATTAACAAGGGAAAAAGACACACATTATCAGGTACTATGTCCACAGTGTGATCAAAACAAAATGCGAACATATGAAAAGGGTCTCGATGAAGTAAACAGTAATGTGAAGAAAGCAGTCTTCTGGGATTTGGCACCGTGTATATGTGGTGTTAACCGACGTTTCGGAGGACGTATCGCCTCCATCTTCAGGGTAGAAGAAAAAAAAATATAAGAATCTGCAAGCAAAGAGANAATGTCTTTGGGCAGTTACAATGGAAGAGCAGTACATTAGTGTTTATGGTATGTATGATAAATGTCTGATATTATCAGTTTTAAATGGTTCTGATTATGATGACTAGCTTAGTATTGCAGGTTTTCCGCATTGTGCATCATCTAGTATTCTGGACAGACACTTTATTCCAGAAACTGCATCTATATCTGTCCTGGAATGCAGTGATTAAAATTAGGTTTTTCTAATGAAACAAGCTGAGATGGTGACTCTCAGTTTTTTCATTAAGATGGAAGCAGACTCAGTTGTGGAAATATGTTCTGTTTAGAATACTAGATGATGGACAGAGGTCTGAAGTACAGTTGTGTTACATACCTGATACTCTGTATTCATTATGAGCCTGATGCTTTGTCTGTCGATGTTCATATGTGATAAGTGCAACTCTGTGTATAACTTATGTCTCTTGTTTTGTAGGATTTGGCTCAAGAGTAATGTGAGTGAGGCACTGAGGAAGCTTGCTGCTTGCCAGCCAGTGCGAGAGGAAATTGTACGGCTGCAGAAAGGGCTTTGTGACACTTTGGGTGTGCAGAGTGTAGTTTGGGATTGCGGTTGGAATGTGACACATTTCCGTGGCTGCTTGCTAAGCTTCCAGGCATTGGCTCGTCACCACCCGAACATCATGCATACCTTAAAAGGTGAGGACAATTGGTGTTAGTGTCAGTGTGTGCATGGTGTCTGACAAATAACACTGGTGAGTTGGCGTATATTGGATCATGTGACTTCATGGTTCAGCAATGTTTATATCAGTCGTTCGGATTCAGAATATTGTGTGACAGCAATGCATGTTATATTGCGTACTATGAACACTTCCAGTGTACACCGAGACTAGGTTCTCACAGCAGTGAATACTCTTCTGGGATATCACGCCATGCAGTTCGGTAGACAGGTACCACACATCATCACATCTAAAATTACTATTATTTGAGTATGCAGATAGACACAATCTGCCTCTTCTTTATAAACAGGTAAAAATGATAAAGCTATCCCTATAACAAGCCATGGAGTCCCATGGATTTGTGAGATGTTTAGGCTCTCACATTTTCTAGAAAGTCAGCTCGTAGATGGTGATGAAGTTGTCAGCCTTATGTGCTGGCTGCCCTTTACCCCCAGGAAGATTCCTCTTATTTATTTCTGTTAGAGGCTAAGTTGATCACAGGACCATAGTGCGTTATTAAGATGAAAAAAAATGGCTAGATAAATTTCTTGGCAGTTTTTAACAGGACCCAAAATAACTTCTGTTCAGTTTTCAGCTCTAAACACTTGGGGTTACATGTGTGTTTGTGTGCAGAATTTTCTAAAAAAATAGTAAATGCAATTTTTTAACTTGACAGCCATCAACAAATATATTGTAAACAGATTTTCTAACCAATTTTTTTTCCTCAGTTCAAGTCTCTTGACATTTGTGCTATATGCCCAGTTCATCTGATACTCCTTGAGTATGAGTATGAGGGGTGAGCCATAAAAACCGGCCCTCACACTGTGACTTTCAAGGGTCTGTTGTGCTTCCCCTTTGGATTAACCCTTGATTAATCCTACTTTTCGAATGAAATGTAGGACTTGATTTATGGGGTTGTCATAAAAGTCACTTGGTTCCATGAAGAGTCGATCCAGGTGACGATATCTTAGGTAAGCTCTAGCCTCACGGTCACATAAGATGTGTGTCGCTGATTCATCTTCTTGTAGGCACCTTTCACAGGTTGGCTCTGTCAGTCCCAGTTTGAAGAGGTGCCCTTTTAGGTTTCATTGTCCAGTAAGTAATCCTACCACCCATCTGAGTTTATCTCTGTTTAATTTTAACAGGTCCCTCGTTCTCTTGGCAGAGGGTCCTGATATAAATCCTTTTGCCTGTTTGAGTCCATTTGTGGATTCCCAGTGTTTTTTGTGATTTCTGTTAGTCCAGTCCCTTATCGCTTTCTTGGCAACTCCAATTGAGATGCCGCAAGCTGATTCAGATCTTATGAATGGATGTTCAGATCCTGTTCTTGCCAACTGATCTGCGGTTTCATTCCCAGCAATAGCCTCATGACCTGGCACCCATTATCAGCTGAACTCTGTTATGTTCTGATACTCCTTGATTTGAGTTTTATTGTCTTGTCTTGAATTCTGGACATGCTTTTAAATTATATTCTCCATTTGTGACATCAGTGTAGCTTCTCAGATATTCCAGGGAGCACATGATATCCAAGTAGTTTTCATTGTCAGTTATCACTATATTCTTGCTTTTCACTTCTGTTTTTATGTCATATGTTTCATTTATTGGAAAAATGTTACATTATTTTTACTCAAAATTCCCAGAACCAGAGGCACTGTCCATAAAACCAGTTCCTTTATGGTTGGAACACATCCATTCGCAAGTTAACAGTTATCTAACTTCCGTGATTGTATCCAGAAACCTGTCAGCAACTGCAGGGAGTGCATGCATCCAAACTATAGGAATCTTTGTAACACTTGCTATTCTGACATTATGTATGTTAACAGTCAGAGGTGGTAGTGGTTACAAACAGGAACAGAAGATTTTAGCAGTGGAATGGATGCTTAAGTTGATATTACCCAGAGGTGTTCCTCAACATTTCAGCATCATGTAGTGTGTGTGCAGGTTGTTACTCTGTGAAGTTTTGTATCTTCTTCTTGATAGGTATTTTTGACAAAGTTTTTTCTGTTGTAATTCAAGCAGGCTATGGCTGGCAAATAGATGAAGTGTGACTGCAATGTGTAGTGGGACATGGTCAGGTCAGAATTATTTAAATTCTTTACAGTTCACTTCCCTTGGCTTGGTAATGTTAGTGACGCTATGTCTTGGCATTTACATATACCTTAACGAATTTCAGGGTATGCTTAAGTGAATCCCATATTGTACATGTTTTTTATCTCTTTCAGGAAGGAAACTAATTTTTGGTAATGACACGGGAGTCAGTTTGGATGGCCATGTGATGCTCAATAGTGGTGAAGTGAGGCATAATTGGCTTGATGTAAGTCTGTGATGCTTAATAATGGTGAAGTGAGACAGTTGGCATGATGTACTGAGTAATACCAAAGTGAGGCATATTTACATAGCTTGATGAGCTCTGAACTTGCAAAATGAGTGATGATTGGTTGAAGTGCTGTGTGGGATGATGCATTGACAGAATGCAGAGTCCACTTTTCAAATGAATGTACTGCTGTGAATGTTTAAGAAATTAAGGCTTTTTGACTGTTTGTTTTGAAGGAATAAATGTTTAGTGGATTCTACTGTTCTACCCTGAAGATGGAGGGAGTAGATTGCACCAAAATGTTGGTAATTTTCTACCAGATTGCACGGTGTGACATCTCTTCATATTCACCGCTGTGGGAATGCCATATCATTGTAATGAAAAACACCTTTGATATCAGAAACGCAGAGCAGCCTGATGTGACCTTTGAATTTGACATTCACAGTTTATTGGGCTCAGATACTCTGGAGAGTTTGGCTTACTGTCTCTGGGTCATACTGAGAGCTCCACAACAAGTCACTATTTCTTCCAGAAAGTTAGGTTTCTCCATTATTCTGCTGAAAGGTCTGAATAAATTTCTTTTTTCATGTTTTTGTCAAAGAAACAAAATACTACAACCACAAAACAGATGAATCCCAGCAAATTTGATACAAAACTGCTGAATCATATAGTCACAGTATCCAACATGCTACTGGCTCACCTGTGTTACCGTTGCTGCACAGATACAACAGTATGGTTATTTAATTGTCAGTCCCCATATTTCTGGTGTGTGTTTAATCATTTACTTAATCACTGTCAATAGATCCAAAATTATACCGTTGAAGTTAATGAATATTTATGTTTCTTTTACTTTATTGTTGCAGTTAATAAAGAATGTTCATAAACAAGATGCAGTACTTTACCGAATTCCAGCATTTGAAAAGGCTGTGTCAAGAGTTTTACGTGATATTAAAGTGGTTCGCAGGTATGTTTTCTCAGTAATTGAAGAGGGATCCATAGAAATATCAGAATTACATACCACCAGGAAGAAATATGGCAAATTTGGAATGTCATTTCCAGTCCTGTACTTATATTGGTCACATATGCTGCTATTTCTCCTGTGTCTCCATGTTTATGAAACATGCCCCATTTCAGGAATTTTTTTGGCCTACTATCCTTGTTTTGAAAAAATAAAAATAGGCTTATGAGATCACTTCACTTTCTGCATATCTGTGTGTCTGTATGTGTATCCTCCACCTGTCATCTTTTGAATACCTAAGTCAGGCTCCTTGAAACTTGGTATGTATGTCATGGCAAGTGAGCTCATCTCACCAGCATGCTTCGTAAATCCCTCCAATCAGTCTGTGTGTCTGTATGTGTATCTCCCCCACCATTACTTGGTGAACATGTTCAATAGCGTCTGTTTTTCTTTATGTGTATCCCCCTATGATCACTAGGCAGCTGCTTGGTAAATGTGTCCCCGCAGCAAGGAGGAATTGTTGGAGGCATTGTTTTCTGTGTGGTCTGTGTCATATCAGAGGAAAGTAGACAGTTCTTTCCAGAAATTGTTGTATTTACTCTTCTGCCTGCTTGTGCTGGCGCTGTCCAGGCTTCTGTCAGGGCCTGCATATATAACATTTTCCATGCTCAGCTCCTGCTTCGTCCCTGCATGTTGCTTATCTTGCATACCTGCAGCCTGAAGATGAAGGTAGTGGGTTCCTCTGAAATGGTGGTAAACTTCTCATTGTCTCATCCCAGAAGACAGTACTTTTAAAGGAAATGTATGCATATTGTTTACTCCCTCCTGTTTGATTATGTTTGAAACATAACATTTTTCTCTAAGTCTTAACAGTTTTCAAGGTAAATCAAAGTGAGCAAATGCTGCAGATGTACTATGGTCTTGAAGAATCCCAGGCCTGTGCCTGAAAACCTGTTCCGTTTGAGGGTGTTTATATCTGTGCAGATTCTTCTTAATTAACCACCACGGTTTGATATGTGAGCAATGTTATGAAATGTTCAGAGCCCAGAATTATCATATTGTCACATGTACGAGTGAATATAAATGGGGTTTGGATTGGCACTTGTATTTATTGAACATTTAACAGACAGTAACTACAAGTAACTATAATGCTCTCACTAGTACACACACTCTACAGTTCGCTACAGTATGCACCAAGTCTTCTCAGTCTGCTGTATCTTCACGGGTCATAGCTTGGTAACAGTTTCCAACACCATAGCTTCCTCACCTTTCGTCCTTGCTGGCTGGCGACTGTCTCACAGCTCACTCATTATTCCAACTGATGAACCCCGAGACTGGTGGCCAAGTCATACCAAACTCCTAGTATCCTCACTGCCATTTCAGATCTTTCCTGTAATCGCAGCTGCTCCTTGTATATAACCTTGACATGGAGTGCATAAAAAACACCTCTCCAAACAGTTTCTGTATTGTTGCATCATGTGGCTATCACCCGACTGCATGGAGAACATCATTCCTGTGTTACTTTTTACAGCTGCTGTTTACATTGCTCAGCAATGGGCCTACATCCTACAGTATTATATGAATATGAACTTTAAGGCTGAGGAAAGTTAAATAAAGTATGTAAATCAAATTCATTTTCTGATAAACAAGAAACCATTGAAACCTAATTACTGAATGTCCTGATATATGGTTTACACTCGGGAGTGAGGTATTGTGTTCTGTTGGTTTCCTGTGGCAGCATTGACCGTGACTGACATCTGTTTTTTTTTCTGTCATTGGAGCAAGTACCATGGTCTAGTAGCATGACTTAATGTGACACAGTCACATATGGTGGCATTCTGTAATGTTGGCCTTTTAATTCCTTGTAGGAAATTTCAACCGAAAGTTATGGCCAAACAGTATGAAAACCAGTTGCGGCGGTTAACAACATCATTAAGCGATCATCAGGGACGCATGGGTTATCCAAAGGACTGGCCAGACAGTTTGAGCAATTTTGAACTGGTTGTTGAAACGTAAGTATATCTTACCTTCCTCTTTTTTTTCCCCAACTCTTTTGTCTGTGGGAGTGGTTTTGGGATCTGTAAAATTGCAACACAGGGAAGATTACACGAACTTTCAGTTCAGTTAACTGCATTATTTAAAAATCACACTGCAGCCATTTTATATGGTTTTTACAGAACTTTTTTTAACAGCATTAAAGGATCCTGTAATTAACTTGAGAAGATGTACATTACAGAGCAACAAACTTTAGAACCATCTCTCTACTACCCTCCACTTCCAAAGAAATGTGAAGGAAACGAATGATAGCAGTCAGCACCGAAGGTTATGCCTCAAGTCTTTTTCAGTTGAGATGATATCTCTTCTTTGTCTGTGTTAATATATGTTATTAAAAGATACAAACGAAGTGGTTGAATGGGTGGCAGTCCTGCTACATATTCAGAGTTTCTGGGTTCAGGTCTCACTGGGAGGTGAGTATCTTGACAGGTGTTCCGTTTCTTCCTCATCCTTCCAAATTTATTATTTAGCAATGACTCGTACCATTCTATAAGTGCTCAGAAGCAGAAAGAAAATTAATACACCAAGTTGTGTGATATTTCCCTCTTGTGGGCTCCTGACCGACACAGTCTTTGTCCTTTGTCTGAAACAGCTCAGGGTGGACCGTGCCAAGACAGAACACAGGCAACAGTTTGTGCCAAGTGTGTATAGCCACTGAACCTCTCCAGCTGCCTTCAGCTTGCCCAGGCAATCCAGAGACCTTCCTTCATAATCTGAAGTGGTCTAAATCTCTTCCCTCTACAATCTTACCCTTTGCTGCATCCCATCTGGGGGAGCCAAGATTGCTCATTAGTCTTCCTTTTGTGCCTGCTCTCCTACACTCTACAGCAACATAAGATCAACCAAAGAAAGATCCCAAATATTTCTTTATCATAACATTGTAAGTTGATATTTATGCAAATAACAGTTGGGAAGTCCTACTTTGTCCCTTTCAGTATTTAGTTTAAGCTTCATGTGTTCATGAGAAGCTCGGTATCTCTCACTGACTGCAATATGTTGAGATATAATAATTACCCTTTCTGAATAAACCTGATATCACTGTTTTTACAAACACGTGAAGAATGAATGTGAAACAGCATTGTACAACATAACATGACATACCGTAATTAGCTGAATTACGATAACTGTGATCTGTATCTATGAATTTTAACATAATGTCGCGTATCGCAGGGTATAACGCGACAAATAACTTCACGATGTATTTGATGTAGCGAATTTTATTTCACATTCGCACTTACAATCACCCAAATTAGAGATTTACGATTACTGCTATCTGCAGTATCACAATTAGTACACTCCAAATGCCACAATACAACTGACTAGTTGCTGGCTAACTCGGCGGTAGCNAGATAAAATTAGGTGGTAATTTTCATCTTACTCTAGTAGCCACTGTGCTTTAAAGGTTAAAATGCTGATAAATTCCAGAAGTTTATGATTTAGGATTATTGGGTGTTCTTATATTTTACAAATGAATTCCAACATATCAAAGTGAAAATCTAGGTAAATATAAAATTCCTTGAAACTGTGAATACAGACTGACACTCTAAGCTGACATTTAGCTTTCTTCCATTTTTCATTGTGCTGTCTTAGTGGATTCCATTCTTGTTTGTGTGACCAGTTTGTTGACATTCACAAATGGTGATTGTGTCTTGGTGACTTTGCTCCTCATTTGGCAGGGAGGCAGGTCCACTGATGCTGTCCCCAACTGGTCAGTTCATTGTACCTTCCTCTTGCCCAGCATTTCTTCTCGTCGCGTTCTTGAGTGAGAATTTAGATGCGGCCTCACGGCTGCTTCAGCGTTATCAAAGGTGAGGACATTTCTGTAGTCATATGTTGTTTGGGTCAATCATTATTTGTAATAAGATAAGTGACTGTTGTTTGACTTAAAGCATATGATTCTAAGTTTTGGGAAATCCAGATTGTTTGAAAACATGTTCTATTAATGTACTTGTATATACTTGTGTAATGTCCAGTCTCTTTCTTGTGAGGAACTATACAGATCGTTTGGAAATGCAAATTGTTTAAAAACATACTAAGTACCACTGTACTTGTGTAATATGCACTCTGTTTCTGGGAAGGAACTGTACAGATCTTCTCATTTTTACAACACAGAGTTCTGTCCTTGACTTAATCTTGGTGCACTGTTCTGTTTTTGTCACTGATTGCACAAGAACTCTTTTTAAGTCTGCTCCTCCTGAGAGCAGCACCTGTCCACATTTGCAGTTTATGTCTTCATGAAGCTGGTAGGAGTTATATTTAGCATTAGTTTCACTTCTTGCCTTTTGTCCAGCAGTTGGAAAAGGCCATAATAAAACACAGCCAGTGTTGCTGTTTGTGTTGTGGAATGGAACAGAGATGAGATGTGAATGTAACTAAAATAATAAGAGCAACTGCTGCAGAAACCGTATAAAATGGGGGGGGGGAGAGAAAGGCAAATGTCTAATGGGGAATGAAGTGCCATGGTAGTCTCTTATTCTAATAGAAAAGTAATCTGTATAATGGTCTTCCTATGGCTTTCGCTGTTAAAAGCAGGGGGCAAAAGAAGAATGTTACAGTAGTAAATATGGTATTCACAACAAGTGCAGTGCACATCAACCCTTTTCAGTGTTTGAAGCAAGATAATGCAATAAAATTTAGTATCTGCTGCTAAACATGACATGTAGTGTATGAAGGTTTGACTTTGCCTGTTGTTCCGTCAGCAGTACATGCTGGTGCTGGTCAGAGTAGACTCTGTACATATAAATTCATGCTACTTTGACAGTATCCATCTTTACATGACTGGTCACTTAAGAAGACTTAATTGTATAAGGGTCAGTTAACCCTTTCAGTGCAGAGAATGAATTAAGAAACATAAATTTTTTATATTTCTATTTCTGCGGTAGCATAGTGGTTGAGGGGCTATGCTACAAGCCGGAAGGTTGCGGGTTCAAGTCCCGATGAGGTTATTGGATTTTTTCAGTTGACCTAATCCTCCCAGCTGCACTAGGCCCTGGGGTTTACTCAGCCTCTAACAGAAATGAGTACCAGGGATTAATTAACCCTTTGGCGCAGTCATTTAAATTTCGCGGCCGCGTCTCCGGCGGTAATATATTCAGCCGGCCATTTAAATTTTGCTCGAAAATGATTTATTCATCTTTGTTCTTAAATTCTATGAGATAGGAACATGAAACTTTCACTAAAATGTTCTTAAAAGGTGGTTTTATAACCTTACCTTATAATATGGGCGCCCTGTATCTCGGCAATGGAAGCAGCTTGTTTAGTATTTGAGCAGTGAATGGTACGCCTTGAAGGATGAAACTTTCACTAAAATGATCTTAAAAGATGGTTTTTATAACCTTACCTTATAATATGAGCGCCCTGTATCTCGGCAATACAAGCAGTTGGTTTAGTAGAATCTGAGCAGTGTAAGGAAGGCCTTGAAGAATTCGTATAACCCAACGGTGCCCCACATTCACCGCTCCAATATTGTCTTTTCTTTTGCCCTTTTTTTTNAGAAATGAGTACCAGGGATTAAATAATTTTCCTGGGGAGTAAAGCGCGGCCGGCACATAAGGCTGACAACCTTACCACCATCTTTGAGCCGATTGTCTAGATAGTGTGGGACCCTCAACATCTCACAACCGTATGGGCCTTCACGGCCTGGTACGGGGATAGCTTTACCTTTTTACTGTTACTGTTTCTGTTATATCAATGCTGGAGAGAGTGAACTGCCTTGAGATGGCTGGAGAATTTGTTTTCACTGATATTAAAAGTGCCATCAAAATAGGAGTCTTCTGTTTCTCTAAACAACAAATTTCATTTGTTGCAAGGAAAAAATTAAATTAACTGTTCAGATGGCAGCAGGATGCAGCGTTGCAGAGGGTTGATTGTGATTCAGTGTGCAGATGTACATGGAGTAAATAAGATTCTGAGTGCCTGTTGTCAAAATCTGCTAACATTATATATAAATGCAACTTCTCTGATTCCTACTGGAGCACATTCTCACTCTCTGCTTATCGCCCAGCATGTTTACCTGTGCTCTTGTCCTTCGTCTGTGACCTGTATTACCAGCATTAATCTCCCACAAACATTAGTTGTGTCATAAGTATTGCTGAAGGAGTTGACCAGTGTCCTGAACATGGCATGTAAGAGATTTTGCAGTTCTGATCCCAGCCCATGCTTTTAAGTGATAACATTGGTATATACTACAACTGAGAAAGACAAATTTCTGGTTTCCTTCCTTTGAATGGCTACAAAGGAGAATGAACATTGCATGTGACATGTTGGGTTAGATTTGGTTGTTACTGCACTTCATCTCAAAGTGTAATGTGTAATGGGAACTGTACCATGGACCTTGAATGGACATTTGTTCTAGTTCCTACATGTGAATTGTCTTAACATAGTAAGCAATAAGTGGCGGTAGTGATAACAAGCCTCTTGTGTGTAGATAAGGCAGAATAGTTGGAAGGTGCACCAGCATGTGAAATGTGATTGTCTTATCTCTAGTGTGATTTAAAAAAACACTGATGCTAGAAAGGTAGAAATACATAACAGCTGAGCCGTTAATACCTGATCTAGCTTTTTTTTAGGTTGAAATTGCTATTGTAAAGATGAAAAAGTATATGTAAATTGCCAGGTGGTGATCAAATTCTGGCAGATCCGATTCAAGTGGGAGGTGAAATATTATGTTCTAAGATCCATAAGCTAATTAATTCTATTTGGAATAAGGCGAAATTGCCTGATGGGTTGAAGGAGTCCAGTTCACAAGAAGGGTGATAAACCTGACTGCAGTAATTATCATGGGATATCACTGCTGTCAACTTCATACAAAATTTTATCCAATATTCTTTCAAGGTTAAGTCCAGATATAAATGAAATTACTGGAGATCATCAGTGTGGTTTTTGACATAACAGATCAACTGCTGATCAGATCTTTTGCATTCTTCAGATACTGGAGAAAAAATGAGATTACAGTGAGACAGTACATCAGCTATTTGTAGACTTCAAGCAAGCCTATGATTCAATTAGGAGGGAAGTATTGTACAATATTCTGATAAGAGTTTGGGGTACCCATGAAACTAGTTTGACTGATTAAAATGTGTTGAATCAGCACATGTAGCAATAGGTAAACATTTGTCTGATAATTTTCCTATCCAGAATGATATAAAAGAAAGAGATGTTTTATCTCCACTGCTTTTCAGCTTTGCTTTAGAATATGTCATCTTCAGTAGTTCCTCCATTGTGATTATTCAGACCTTCGCTAGTAAGTAACCAAAGTTCTATTGTTGATGGCATTACACAGGTTTTCCTGGTTCCTGTATAATGTTTCTCTCAATCAAATCAGAGGTATGATTCAGAGTAATACAAGTTGAACTATTCCAGTACAGTTTCAGCATTATAGATATAACTGTCAGTTTATTGATGTCATTTTTGTCTTCCAATTTCCAGTTGCCATTCTTCTCTATTCATCTGCTATCCCTCTTCTAACCTCTTCCATTGTGTTGCCTCGCAGATTTCCTTTATCCTTCAGACTTGTGGTTTTCCACCTTTTCTCTTTTATGCTGATATCCACTGACATGCCCATTTCTGCTGGTTTCTGTCAGACATTCTTTGAATGTGTCCATACCACAGCAGTTGTCTTCATGTCTTATAAAATAGAATTTTGTTTTCCTCTGAAGATTACTGTCATCTGGGATGTACTGCTATGTAGTCTTAACAGGTATTTGTAAACCTTTTGGACAAACATGCTGCATCCATCTTTGGGGTAGACGTTACTTCTTCCCTGAAAATGGAGGCAGTTTGTTTACCAAAATGTCAGCATGTATCTACCAGATTACACAGTATCACATCCCAGAAGGCAGCAGTCTTCATAATCACTCTCTTGAGATCCTGAGCTCTCACATTTTTGTTTAATTGTGTGATTTGGAAATTTGTTCTTTGTCTCAGTGCTGACAGTAATTATCAAACTTTTCAGAAACAAATACGTGGAACGTGATCTGCATCAGCGCTGTGTGGGGGAATTTGAGTTGGCAGCCTTGCAGAAAGATGACAACATTACACCTGATCTGATGATTGAATGTTGTGATCGGCTTTTAAGGCACAAAACTGTGTTGTCTCCTTCACTGAAGGGAGTTCATTTGTGGGTAACAAATTATTATTCTGTTCTATCAGATGGAGAGGTGTGTATCCCATGGAACTGGAAGCTATAATTTTAGCTGGCCTTGTTAGTGTCATGCTGCAGACTGAAAGTGCAGTGACGTACAAATACATCCTGACTTACCGCATTCTCAGTTAAATAGATGCCTAAATGAATATTGTATTAATGGGATTTCACAGGGATCTTATTAATTTGGTGCTTTTAGTGAAAGCAAAAAAATACTGAGATTATTTGTTAAAAACAAAGAATTAGGAGCCATAAATGATGAAAAATGTATAGTTAGACAAATATTATGTTTCACACTGTTCATTATCTGAGGTGTATTTGATGTGCACTTTTTTAACTGGTTCTTCAAAGCCCATTCTGTTGTAGTGGTTATACTGGATGGTAAGAGAGAGACATTGGGAATCTTGCTGATTCATTCACACACACAGCTGATTAGGTGGCAAGGCATTAGGCTAGTTAAACTTTGGCTTTGGGCCAACTGATTCCAAGAATGTGGGTGCCATGCCCACATTGTGTGGTGCGCTGTTGATATATGACCATCCTGTGTAAAGGATTTTTGGTAAAGGCTGTGCCAGACCACCACCAGCCATGTCTTAACCTTGCGCCTAATGATAACACACTGAAACTAATTAATACACTATATAAATTGACTACTGCTAAATGTCCATCTGTTACGTATGAATAACTGATACAGTTGATTCATTCATGTGCACACATACAATAGTCTTTAGTACAGCCTCCCCAGTCACTGGTCAGAATAACTGGTTAGTCTACTGCGTATTTAGGCCATACAAGTCTGTTGTCAGATATATATAATCTGCATAAACTGTTACACTGTGTTGTCATTTTGTATGATCCATGAGGACCGAATGTTTAGAAATCTGTTTGACAAATCATTGGCACTTGTTAAATGTTGCATATGAAATACTTTTACAACTTTTAATACAGTGTGTCCTAAAAGGTGTGTTGGAGTTTCAGAATATTCTGTGTATTAAACAGAATGTGTTACATACATGGAACATGAAATAAATTGAAGAACAACTCAAATAGTTTTTTCCATATGTTTATCGAAGTTCTATGTGGGCGCCATTGGTAGCCCTGCAAACATCTAAGCGGTATTGCATTTCCTACCACACTCGACCAAGAACATCAGAAGAGACAGATGCTGCAGCTTCTCTGTGTTTCAAATGTTGAATGTTTTGAATATGAACACTGCAGACGATTTTCTTCACATACCCATAGAAATAAGAATCCAGGTGTGTCAGATCTGGAGAACATTTGCTTCCAGCCGCCCCTTCCAATCCAGTGCCATGGAAATATCTTGTCAACAAATTCTGTAACAGTGTTTGCATAGTGCACAGGACCACCATCTTGCTGAAAGATCACGTCATCAATTTAGGGTACTGCAAACACTACCATCATGTCTATGTAATTATGTGATGTCACAGTGCATTCAACAAAATCATGGAGATGTTCATTAGTTATATTACATTGTGCCAGTGGACATGTCCCAAAACCTGAAAAGTGGCCTCATCACTGAACATTACATGATATAAAAACTGCTGGTCCTTGTCAATTTCGTTAAGAATATCCACAGCAAAATCCTGTCTTTTGTGATTATCACCTGGGCAGATTGCATGTAACAACTCCGGTAAAACGTGGACATTCTTCCAAAACCCTTATGAACAGTTGTTTTTGAAAGTCCTAATTCTTGAGCACACTTACATGCTGATTTCTTCGGACTGCAGATAAAACTGTTTCGAATATTTTCCACTGACTTATCGCTAACAGATGGTCTTTCAGAACGCTGTTTGTCCAGTAGGTTTTCCATCTCTTTCATCTGTCTATCCAAATGACAAATGCTGTTTTCATGTGGTGGTTCTTCATTAAACACATACTGGTACTCATGTTGCACTTGAGTCACAGGTTCAAATTTTACAAGCCACAAAACATACTGCACTTTCCTTTGGACTGTCACCATTGAGTGAGCGTAACCTTGGATGCATTGTGCGTGCAACTTCTTGCCCTCTTTCACACCCAACCTTTATCCATGTATCTGTCGTGTTTCGTTCCAACAATCTAATTGTTTGAAAACCCACCATGACTTTTGGGAGACACTGTATGATATAGAAAGGTGTATATGTGCTGTGGCACCCCTCGTATATTCTGCATTATGTTTAGCATTGAGGTATGGATGGTGGCTTGATTAATTGTGAGTGTGTAATAGAGTTAACTATGCAATTATCATGGAGTGTACATAATGGTTTTACAGTAATTTAATTCTTGTATATACTATGTACAGCATGGACTGAAAGGTATAGCTGCTGTGAAAATCTGTCTTAGACCTCTAGTGTAATGGAAGAATCACTTGGTTATGACTCCTGTACCTCAAACACAGACATGAGGGGAGTGTATCCAAGGTGACACAGTGGGGGTGCAGTCTCTGTCAGCCAGAGCCATTGCTTGGTGAGAGTTGCTTATAGTTGTCACCCTTCAGGGTTTCCCGTGATTCCACGTGGGATGGCCAGAGGTATTTGAGGGTGTTTGATCCTTTTGTGTTTATTCAGTTTGTGGGTCATGTGGTACCTCAGCAGCCTCATTATTTCTGTCGATGTCTGTTATATAAAGGATCAAGAGAAGACAATCTTGACCTTTTTGATAGAGTTCATGATCTGCTCCCCAAACTGTATTCTAGGGAGACACCTTGGGTACACTTAGCTACCGCCACTCAAGGTGCTATCCTGTACTCGGCCTGTGCAGACTAGTAATACCTGGGAATTTCAGTGCTGCTGCATGGGAATCCAAGGCTTGACAGGCCAAGTACGTTTATGGGTTTCAGCCTCCAAGAGATGATGACACCAGTTAAGGTATGCTCATTGTTTGGCATGGTCCAGTAGAACCTCATGGAGACACCCAAAGCAGACAGACAGATTTATTTAATAGAAGCTCCAAGCATTGAGCTCTGTTGTAACTGTAACTGTCCTGCTTACAATTTGGGAGCGTCATAACTAATGGTAACTGTGATATGTAATGGGCCTGCTTAAGGCCGGATTTGAGCTTGAGTTAACATAGCAAATACAGGGTGGGGTGCAGAAACTTCCTTTTTTTGAAGGTGAATAAAAGAAAAATTATTGCTGATAGACAAAATTTATACTTCTTTTGGCTTATTTTGGACTTATCCATCGTCTGGTATGTAAAAGACAAAAGACCACGACGTTTTGGAGACTGGATCTGCCTCCGTCTTCAGGTGGGTAGGGGAGGATAAACCTACTCAGTTTGGGCCGTTAGAAGGAGCTAGTCTCAATCAGGTCCTCCCCTCCCCACCTGAAGACGGAGGCAGATCCAGTCTCCGAAACGTCGTGGT